ACTTAGTGATGTTGTAAATCCTGTATTGTACCTGTTCTAACACAGCTTCAGAGTATAAAAGTAGCATAAATACTTCTTTAACTTGTATTGATAGAAGTATAAGTAAGGCTTGAAAACTTCAGTTTAGGCAACTAGACATGAAGTTTTCTAGAAGAAGTTTCTCGTCTTATCCAAGAGGTTTCTTCTGTTCTAACTAGTAGTGGGGAGCACTGAGATTACTATACTGTAGGCGTAATAAGGAATCAGGGGAAAACAAAAGGTGGCTCTCATCATTCCCATTGGATTGGCCATGGAGCTCACTTGGGGGGTGGGGTGGGGGTTTTAATGGTTGTTAGGGGGTTCTGATGGAACGATACCTGGAAGATTCACCTCTCACCTGACCCACACTTCCATGAGGCATGTGACCAAAACTACTCTGATGAACGACCCATCACAAAACCCCTAACAGCCATTAACACCCCCCAGGTGACTTCCACGGCCAATCTAGTAGAAATGATCAGAGCCTCCTTTTGTTTTCCTACAGTATATTAATCTCAGTGCTCCCCACCAAAAGTTAGAACTGAGGAAGACTCTTTGATCAGAGGTGAAACGTCTTATAGAAAAACTTCATGTCCAGTTGCCTCAACTAAAGTTTTCAAGCTTGACCCTGACCTGAATGACTGAGAATATTCTCTGATAATTGTAGCAATATGGTCATTTAGCATATACCAGTGGTTTTCAAATAAATGAAATACATTTAGCTTGAGTTCCAAGTCATTTTTATACCCAGTTTCTGAGCCTAGAGGTAAATGGGACCCAGAATAACCATTAGTTACATGTCAACCCAAATTGATGTGTTGGGTTTAGTTCTACACATTTTTAATCTGGGACTGCTCCTAATGCATCTGTAAAACCCTTGCTGTTCCTCTTTCAAATATATCATAGATTTTAACAAAAAAAAAAATGTGATAGTAGCAGCTGCTGTCATGCTTATATTAATTCGGCTCTGAGCTTGTTAGCTCTTGTTTTCGTCACTGCTAAATGGACGCCTAAACATGCAAAGTGATTGGCTGGTTTGGTCTGTCTCAAATGTTTTAAGCAGAAGTTATAACAGCTTACCTGGTGTACAAATCTTTAAAAACTTTTTTTTTTCTTATTGTTGTCACAACTGAATCATTCCTATTTATATTGGCTATAACTGAGGCCAAAATTCCTAAAAGTCCCGCTAAAGGTAACTCAACAGACAACAGTGGTAACAGCTTGAAAACCATGGCAGTAAACAGGGATTTAAATAATCATACGGTGTGCAGATTGTACTTACATCAAGCTTCCATTTGCAACCAGCTAAGTACACTTTGACGTAACCTCTCCTTTCACTGTCTACTTTAAAAGAAACTTGCCTCAACTAGTTTCAAAAGATATTATAAAGTTATATAAAGACATTTACTATTTCAAACTGAATGTATTATTCATCAAAATTAAATGAATTAAACCAACATTCACCTAACTATGAACTTACATTTAAGTTTTATTTAATTTTCTCCTCCTTTTTTTAGGCTAAGGAGCCCAAAGCAGTGATTAAGGTGGACTCTATTAATGCAACGTTCCAACCAGAGAAAATAGGAAATCCCAACGGACTGCAGATCACTTACCTCAAAGACTACAGTACCCGGAATATCTTCCTCTATCATGAGAGTGGCAAGGTGAGAGTAATACACACTTTGTCTTTGTGGGTCTTTTTAGTATTGACTGTAAACATGAGCCACGCTTAAACAATGTAAAGTGTCATTTAAAATGTCAATCTTTTTTATTAAGATATAAAGGTTTTAAAAGTTTCTCGTTTATGTTGTTGTTGGAGAGGCTCTGAACCTTTACCAAGTTATTTGCATCGGCTTTTGCCTCCCACTGGAACCCATTATCATATGATATCCAAGCATCACATCTATGTTTCTCCACCATCCATAAACACAGTGAAGTATATCGTGCAGCTCCGTGTTTGTATGAGATTTATTTGTTGCTGTGTGTCATGTGGGAGTGGGGCATTTTCTGCAAAATTCACATTAGAGTCATATTACTGGAGCTCTGCAGAGTTCCTTAGCTGGCTTTTCACTTCAGGGAGTAACATAGAGGAACTGGGTAGCAATAATATACTATATACAATGATATACTGTGGCATTGTAGAGATACCACACTAGGTTTTCCTCTATCCTTTTTTATTTTTGAGGGAGTAATTAATTTTTGGACACTTTATATTGAAGTATAGTTTCAAATTTCAAGCCATTGAAGCCTGAATTAATTAATATTATTAATATTATTTTTCAATTACATGATTACATTAATCAGCATTGGCATGTTTGTGTGCACGCACACCATGGGGATATACAAGGGGTTCTAAATTTGCTAATATGTGTTGTAGAGATGTACAGGTCTGGTGGGTGAATCTCTTTCCAGGGCAACTAACAGTTGCTTAAACTCAAGCCTATCTAGGAAAGCAATTCTATAAAAATTCTATAAGAAAGAAAGCAATTCTATAAAAAAAATTGCTTGAGATGTTTGTCGTTAATCAAAAGTCAAGTAGCAGCCACAGCAAATTAGATAAATTGTCTGTCAATAAAGATTTGTGACTGACTGTTTCCGTTTTGGCTTCTCTGTTTTTTTTTTAGGAAATTGTTGACTGGTTTAATTCAATTCGAGCAGTTCAGCTTCACTACCTAAAAGTGGCCTTTCCGGGTGCAACTGATGCTGAGGTAGACAAACACCAACACTTTAACCTATCTGAAAGGAGCTAGTGGATTTATCTCTTTGTCCCTTTTCAAAATGTTTTCTTTTATAATACTGAAAATATATCTTTTTGGACAACCATTTGTTTATGCAACTGAAAAACTGTACCTTCATGATACTTTTTCAGCTCATACCAAAACTTACTCGAAACTTTCTCAAGGAAGGATATATGGAAAAAACAGGTCCAAGGGTAAGAATGCAAATTATTTCCTGTCTGTACCTGCACAGTTCCCACTTTGTTTTACTGTAAATACTCCACCCATTACTTTTTTTAAATTTCAACTTTAGCCTGTTTACAATTTAAAACCAAAAGAACTAGATAAAGAGGAAAAAGGTTTGTATCTAAATTTGTCCTTCATTCTTTTTTAAAGACAATTCTCTGAATTCTTATATATTCTCTAAATTAACTATTAAGTCTATTAAGTTATTTGATCCTCCGAATTACTGTAAATAAACTGGACATTTCAATTAAATTTTGTCCAATTGGTCAAAGAAAGTACAAAAAAGCAGTCATGTCAGTCCACCTTCTGCCTTCTTGATAAGTATCTAACTGGATAAACACACTTCAGTTGCTTCCTTTTACTCCAGCTTTTGCTTTTCTGTCTTTATTTGAAACAAACAGAGCTAAATGGATAGCTAGCTTATCTGTAAGTATTACTGATTTTTAACCTCTGTCTGACAGACTGGCATGCAGCTGAGATTATCCACTGCCAAACTGTCCGCTGTCTCTGCATCTGTCACTCAATCTAAGGAAATGAAAGGCTTCCTTCTGAGAACTTCTTGTCGACTTCATTTGATATCTCATCTAAAAACATAGAAGGCAGACAAACACAGTGCAGATGCACAAAGAAGCACTTGTAAAGACTTGTGTAATGATGCACAAATGCAGCAGTGCTGTAATGTTATATATCTAGAACTAGTGTCACACAGAGAGTACAGACTCGGGCATCTTGAAAGGAAACATTTGAAGCACTTAATGCTATGTGGCCCAACCTGTTTTACCATCTCTGAGAGACAAACTGCTAATGTAACCTCTGTAATGAAACATGAATTCACAAACCTGCTGCTCTGAGTTGATTTAGTTAGATTTGTATTTACAAATTAGAGATTTGTTTGTATTTACCTACCAGCAGAATGTGAAGGCAACTTATTGTTTTTTGGAAGTTAGGCAGGAATTAGTATTTTTAATATTTGGTATAAAGAATTTTGCTCTAACAGAACTCAAATGTTAAGCTTTTCCTGAATTTCTCTGTATCCACAAAATGTGTACACAAAGATTTCTGAAACATTATTATTATTATTTTATTCTTATTGCACATTCTTCAAACAAATCAGAGCAGAGCGCACTTTAGTTTAAAACAAACAAGCAGCACTACTGATTCAAGCACTAGGTGGAGGTTTTTTCTGTCACTTATTCTATTTGTGGATTTGTTTCCCTGTTCGTCTACATAGCAAACAGAAGGCTTCAAGAAACGTTGGTTCACACTGGATCAGAGACGCCTGATGTACTTTAAAGATCCATTGGTATGCCAATCTTTGTGCTCACACAGGTTGATATACAAGCATGAAAAGTGAATGATGACATACACCGATCAAAATGTCATGACTGATTTCTGCTCTTTGTTTAGGTTGTAGGTTCTAAAGCTTTAACTTTGCAGGAACTACTTACAGAAAATATCTTTAGGAACTATTGAATAATAATAAAAACAACAAATTAAATAATATTTTAAGCCTTTCTGCCTTCAGTAGTCACTAATTATATATCTTTACTGATCAGTGGTGACGTCACACTGGTATGTGGTAGACCAAAGCCGGTAAAACAGGATAGGAAGGTGGTTTTTCCACCACTTTAACCTGTTGTCAGCACTCATAGTTAACTGTGGTAGTTTTTCTCCCCATGCATTTGGTTGTAGGCACTGGGCTAAATCAACCAACAAAGGATAGAAATCTACTGTTAAAAAAATGTCTCTAAAGGAAAATGGTGCTTAAACTAAAGGTGGAGCTTCATTGTGGGATTTTTTTTTGTAAACTAAGTTCTAACAGAAGGGTTTTATTTTAATTGCAAGCACATTTTTCAAGTAACTCACTTATACAGTGTTTGCCAAAGTTTCCATTAAAAAGATTTACCAGTAAAATATGGCCAAGTGAAGTGTTTTCACTGTCGCCAAAGAGAAAACTATTGTTGAACATTTTTAGTGGAAAAAAAGTCACATAATTAAACTTTAAAAGATAATAAAACTTTTCATTAATATGATCGTGTAAAGAGGCATTAGCGCTTAAAAAAAAAAAAAAAAAAAAGGAGGCATTACTGAATTTTCTAATTGTACCGCCACCTGTGGCCAAAACACAGAACAGCAGCACACATGCTTGTTCTTGTAAATTCAGGAAAGATAGATGCATCGGTGCTTAACTACCGTCATTTTGCTCATCAAACAATGTTTTAGTCATAAAATGGCCAAATAAAAAAGCAATTTTTAGGATATTTTTAGTAAAAACGTACAAAATGTCTCTTTAAAATCATGTCTTGTTAAGAGTGTTACATGTGCTACATACATTGCCAGCTTTAAACATTTAAAGGTTTTCTAAGAAACAAAGTGAAATTCAATGGTTTACCTTTTGGTCTTTTGTCAAATTTTAATTTTTTTTATGAACATGTCAGCTGGATTAGAGCTACATATGTTTAAAAAAGGGCTCAAGGTAAAGTAACTTGCTGAAGTTGAGGCTAACGTCAGATTTTCCAAGGAGGCATTGTTAATGATATAACAGATTAGTACAGCAGTGCAATAATTATAGATGCGTTGAGACTGGGAAGTTCATCTTAACCCCTGAGTGTTGGACAAGAAAATTTAAGGTAGGTAGAGGAAGTCTTGGTAAATTTTGTGTTACTGCAATACTTTTAGGTAGCTGTTTAAGAAGATGTGATCTAACTACTTAGTTAACAGAATTATACTCTACTCTTTGACTAAAGGCTTACCAAGAGATTACATATAAGGTAGCATTTTTCTTTTCATAAATTCCTCAAGCATATACTTGATTTAGAAACTTACATTTATTGATGAAGCCATTTTCACTGGTTGATATCATTTTTGTATAAAAAAAAGTTGGAAAGCACAGCTAGGATGTAAAAAATTGTAGTACCTGTTGAGATGATTGGACTTCACCTTAATCAAAAAATAACAGTTGAATTGCATTTTTTACACCCTATGGTGATTTGAAATAGATTAGTTATATATCTTCTTTAGGCATATAAATATATTGACCCATTTATACTTGCTTATACCGTCAATCCTAACCAATCAGAGACAGAACGGCAAAAAGTAGAGCATAACCGTAAAATGAAACGGAGAAAATTCTGTTTTTTAATTTAATTGATTTTTTAATAGTATCCATCTATGCTTAGCCAGTTTCTAAGCATAGATGCCAGCAACTATATTGAATTTATTAAGAAAATAACATGTACCTCATTGAGATGTTGCATTTACCTGAACAACCTGCATACTGGTTTGCCACATGATTACACGTTCAAACTACTGTTTAGTTGGCATTATCTTTCAAATTTTTGTTTTAACCATAATGAAGGCATATTTCTGTCATGTATTGCGTATTCTCCCTCATTGTGGAAATAATCATGTACAGATATAAAAAATAGAGCAGAATTATAAATAAAGCAGGTAAATGTAGATTAATTTCGTATCAAAAATGTAGGTTGGGTTATATGGCATGATAAAGAATGTTTCCCCTTTCTTTCATTTTGCCTTGAAGGATGCCTTTGCTAAAGGGGAAGTCTTCCTGGGGAACAGGGACAATGGTTACAGTGTCTCTGCTGGCTTGCCAGCTGGGACCCACTGCAACGGCGCTTGGCAATATGGCATCACAATCGAAACACCTGACCGCTGCTTCCTGTTTACTTGTGAGACAGAGAGTGACCAACAGGACTGGGTGAAACACTTCAGTGATATCATGAGAGCTCAGATGTCCCCTCAGGAATACACAAGTAAGGATACACAAGCTTTTGATAGTAGTGATATTTATGGGCTAAATCACAGGATTTCTGTGTGTTTAAACTTGCAAACCCTCACCAGCAGGAGTTGTTGCTCACTCGTCATCTTTGTCCGCATAGATCTGTCCGCTTAGTTACAGATTCTCCTAGGTGCATTCTGTCTGCACGGATGCTGCGAGGAGAGGCATGAAAGCCCAAAATGACATCATTTTGCCACATCCAGCATAAACCTTTTATACCTTATTATTTAATTAGATTGCTGATACGAAAAAAAATGAAATCACTTACTCTCTAGTTATGTGATATATTACTACTAGTATTATATTAACATTTAACAGCAAATAAAAAAAAAGTACAGGTAGTTAATCTGGTGAACTGTAAAGTGCCTTGAGATGACATGTTGGCGCTATATAAATAAACTAAATTGAAATTAATTAATGGCATCTGTAAATACCAAACCATCCTCATAAATACGATTTAAAAAATCATACTTTGTTCATAAGAATCGATCTTTTGGATTTAATAAGCGAATCAATTCAGAATAAGAAAATCACTACTTTTTAAGACACATCAATCCCTGAGCTCCCTCCACATTTCCACCCAGACTTTTCTGCAGCAGCAGTGGTCACTAATTGCATTGTTCATACCTTTGCACTGTTATCTCTTATATTCTTCAGCTCCAATTGCTCAAGAGATATGGTTACATTTTAATGTGTTACTATTCTTTACAATTTTGCACTTAAAATAAGTGCATTTTTTCCTTGAATTTAGGAGATAAGTGAGACACATAACTCTCACTTATCTTCAATGGAAAAAAACAATTGTGTTCTTATTTCAAGCACATATCTAATTCTCTTATTTTAAAAGTAAGGATATGGCAAATTCTATTGGCAAATCATCTTATTTAGCTGCTCAAACTAAGGGTAAATACACTTGATTGAAGAAATGTTTACTATTTTTATATTGTTTTTGCAGTGTGGTTTATCCAGCACTGCATACTCCTAGGGCTTCAGCGGAAACACGTTCACGTGTCTCCCCACACCACTGCTAAAACTAGGTGGCTAGAAGACTAACATATGGTTACTGCAACAGACTGATTAAGGAGCAAAGGGTGGAAAATGAGAATGTCTGATGTGAAAGTGCCACGCTGTGGTCAAGGCACTACTTGGCAATTTGTCAATGAGTTAAAAATATATAGAAATGCATTCAAATTAACTAGGAATTCAAGAGTGAATAATATATTTAAGAATTATGGGTGATTTATTTCTCTTTTTGTTTAGGTCGAAATCCATATCTTTGAACAGCT